CTCACGCCTGTAATCCCAGATACTCGGGAGGCTGAGGCAGGAGAATCATTGAACCCAAGAGATGGAGGTTGCAGTGAGGCAGGATGGTGCCACTGCACTCCAGCCTGGTTGACAAGAGCAAAACTCCATCTCAAAATAAAAATAAAAATATATTATCTTTGTAGAGATTAGATCTTGCCAGGTTGCCCGGGTTGGTCTTGAACTCCTAGGCTCAAGCGATCTGCCTGCCTTGGCCTCTTCAAGTTTTAGGGTTACAGGAGTGAGCCCCGTACCTGGCCCCCAGATTTTTAATATATGAATATATTCATCTGATGAAGCTGTAAGATAGAGTTACATATGTGTGCACACATATTTATGTATATCAAGTATGTATATGTGTGGAGGAAGGGGCTCATGGAGGCAGAAGTGTCTCAGGGACACAGAAGTCATAATGGGGCCCTGGGAGCCTGTAAGCAGAGTGTTCCCACAGTCCCTAGGGCTGAAACACAGCTGCCAGGTGGAGGTAACTGCTTCCTCCATAGCTGACACAGGTGGGGCACTGGGCTCCTGATAATAATAAATAATGTCCATTAAGTATTAACGAAGGGCTTGGCGTTCTCTCTCTTCATCCGCATAGCACTTAGTGTTCTCATTTCACACCTGAATTCAGAGGTCACCTGACTTGGCTCAAGGTCACACAGCTAGGAAGAGGTGGAGCCAAGAGTTGAGCCCTGTATCATCCACCAAGTGACTTTTTTTTTTTTTTTTTTGAGATGGAGTCTCACTGTGTTGCCCAGGCTGAAGTGCAGTGGCGCGACCTTGGCTCACTGCAACCTCTGCCTCCCGGGATCAACTGATTCTCCTGCCTCAGCCTCCTGAGTAGCTGGGATTACAGGTGCCTGCCACTGTGCCTGAATAATTTTTTTTTGTAGTTTTAGTAGATATACGGTTTCACCATGTTGGCCAGGCTGGTCTCGAACTCCTGACCTCAGGTAATCTGCTCACCTCGGCCTCCCAAAGTGCTGGGATTACAGGCATGAGCCAAGCTCCTGGCCTGTAGCATCATTTATTATTACTTAGCCAATCCTGTATTACTGACGTCTCACATTCGAACTCCTCCCGGATGATGGTGATAAGGATGACTGCTATTCCGTTCATCAGTCAGTAAATATTTACTGAGCACTCTTGCTGAAGGCTGAGAGCAACTAGCTGACCATCTGGCTTAATCTAGGGTAACATTTACAGTATTGAGTGGAACACCTTAAAACCTGTGAGAAAGGGCCAAAGCAGCAGCCAGAAGAAAATTTAGAGCCTTCAATACATTTACTAGGAAATAAAGAAGACGAAGAACGAGTGAGTGGGGCCAGGCTCAGCGGCTCACGCCTGTAATCCTAGCACTTTGGGAGGCCGAGGCGGGTGGATCACCTGAGGTCAGGAGTTTGAGACCAGCCTGGCCAACATGGTGAAACTGTATATCTACTAAAACTACAAAAAAAAAAAAAAAATATTCAGGCACAGTGGCAGGCACCTGTAATCCCAGCTACTCAGGAGGCAAAGGCCGGAGAATCACTTGAACCCAGGAGATGGAGGTTGCAGTGAGCTGAGATCGCACCATCGCACTCCAGCCTGGGAGATAAGAGTGAGACTCCATCTCAAAAAATATATATCAGTATAGTATTATAAAATGTCTGTGGACATGAATGGACCAAACATTCTTTTTTTTTTTTGAGGCAGAGTCTCACTCTTGTCGCCCAGGCTGGAGGGCAGTTGGTGTGCACCCACCAGGTTCAAGTGATTCCCTTGCCTCAGCCTCCTGAGTAGCTGGGATTTAGGCGCCTATCACCACACCCGACTAATTTTTGTACTTTTAGTAGAGATAGGGGTTGGCCATCTTGTCCAGGCTGGTCTTGAACTCCTGACCTCGTGATCCACCTGCCTTGGCCTCCCAAAGTGCTGGGATTACAGGCGTGAGCCACCATGCCCAGCCAAAGACTCTTTAGTCAGGAGAGTGGCCTTCATGAATATCATTTCTCCTACCAACCTTCCAATAACAATTGCTCGCCAAATATATTAGTTACCTATCACCGTGTAATAAATTAACCCAAAAGGTAGGGACCTAAAATTAGAGACACGTTTCTCATGGTCTCTTTGGGGCAGGAATCTAGGTGGGCTTTAGCTGGGAGCCTCTGGCTCCGGGTCACGCAATGCTGTGGTCAGGGCGTCAGCTGCATGAGTGGTCTCCAGGCTGGTGTGGGGTAAGATCCAATGCTAAGTTCACTCACGTGGCTGTTGGGAGGTCCTGGGCTTTATTGGTGGTTGGCTGGAAACATCCTTGGCACATGAGTCTCTTCATACAGCTCCTCACAGGGTGGTTTCATTGCTTCTTCCCCAGGGCAAGAGCAGAGCAGACAGCGAGAGAGACACTGAGGCCACAGTTTTTTTGGAACCTAACCTTGGAAGCGACATCTCATGGCTTTTGCCATATTCTAGTATTCTTTTTTATTTCATTAAAAAAAAAATTTTGAAGATGGGGTTTTGCCATGTTGGCCAGGCTGGTCTTGAACTCCTGACCTCAGATGATCTTCCCACCTCAGCCTCCCAAAGTGCTGGGGTTATAGGCGTAAGCCACCATATTCAGCCTCTTTTTTTTTTAGACAGATTCTTGCTCTGTCACCCAGGCTGGAGTGGAGTGGCACTATCTCGGCTCAGTGCAACCTCTGCCTCCCAGGTTCAAGCTATTCTCCTGCCTCAGCCTCCCGAGTAGATGGGACTACAGGTGTGCACCACCACGTCCAGCTAATTTTTGTATTTTTACTACAGATGGGGTTTTACTATATTGGCCAGGACGGTCTCCGACTCCTGACCTTGTGATCCACCTGCCTCTGCCTCCCAAGATGCTGGGATTACAGGCATGAGCCACCGAGACTAGCCTTTTTTCTTCTGTTTCAATCTCTCGCTGGTATAAAATCTATACACAGCAAAGTTCTTCAGTCATACTTGTGGCCATGTTCCCTGCCTTTGAACATTCTTTTAAAACAAGTGAGCTCTAAACTCCTTTTATTCTGTGTACTTTCTGAAACCTCCTCTAGTGAGCTAATATTATTATAATCAGAAAAATGCCACCTTTAAAAGGTACAGTTTCTGTCGATTAGTTTCCATGGAGAAAGTGTTTTAAAACTCCTTATCTTGCTGAGGCTTTACCGTGCCCCTGGGGGAAAGGCCGAGAGGGGATTAATTTCCTTGTGGGTGGAAAGAGGAAGTCACTCCCCACTTGGAGCTGGCCGGGTACCGAAGGTGGTATCCTACGTGGGCACTGGGCAGGGAGCCACTTGCAGGCTCCTGGCACCGAGGGCCCTCGGCAAGGCCAGCTCCCCACACCGTGCCCGGGGTGGCCGCCGTCAACTCTGATGGAAAATGCTCTGGCTCGCCAAATCCTGAACTCTAGAAAAGTTCTCCTTCTGGGAAACTGCCCTACATACGGCGTCACGATGTAGCCGAACTTTATGTCCAGATAGATTTAATGCAGCATTAATGTGAGTGTTCTGCAGACGGAAATTGGCTAAATAAATTCGGTTGATGAAAGGTAGAGTGTTTCACAGGCGTTGAAGTATGATTCTGAAATGTAGATTTGTGGTCATTAATGTCTCCCAAGTGAAGAGGATGAACAATTGCACGGACAGAGGGGTGTCTGTGACGTAAATGTGTGGAAAACCGCCTGGAAGAAAACATGCCAAAAGAGTAAGCCGGTTCCCTGGTGGCGGTGGGATTATGAGTGATTCTTCTTCTTCTTTAATACCTCTAATTGTCTGGCCAGGTGCGATGGCTCAAGCCTGTGATCCCAGCACTTTGGGAGGCCGAGGCGGGTGAAGCACAAGGTCAAGAGATCGAGACCATCCTGGTCAACATGGTGAAACCCCATCTCTACTAAAAAAAAAAAATACAAAAAATTAGCTGGGCACGGTGGCGCGTGCCTGTAATCCCAGCTACCCAGGAGGCTGAGGCAGGAGAATTGCCTGAACCCGGGAGGCGGAGGTTGCGGTGAGCCGAGATCACGCTATTGCACTCCAGCCTGGGTAATAAGAGCGAAACTCCGTCTCAAAAAAAAAAAAATCTCTAATTGTCTATAGTAAGCCTGACACTTACATAAGTAACGGAAGTCAAGAGCGAAGCGTTTTTGTCCTCGGTGTCCCCCACTCAGCCCTCCCACTCCTTCTCCACTTTTATTTATTTTTTCTTTGAGTCAGGTCTCACTCTGTCGCCCAGGCCAGAGTGTAGTGGCACAATCTCAGCTCACTGCAACCTCTGCCTCCTGGGTTCTACTGATTCTCCTGCCTCAGCCTCCTGAGCAGCTGGGACTAATAGGCACGCACCACCATGCCCAGCTAATTTTTGTATTTTTGGTAGAGATGGGGTTTTACCATGTTGACCAGGCTGGTCTCGAACTCCTGACCTCAAGTGATCCACCCACCTTGGCCTCCCAAAGTGCTGGGATTACAGGCGTTAAGCCATCGCACCCGGCCCCTCCGCTTTTGACCATTTGTTGTAAATATTCTGAGATCTTTTCTTTGACTCCATGGATTGGTTTCGAAACCTACATGTCTGATCAGATAAATAATAGGGTGAGGGAGGAAGAAAACAGTATTCTCTGAAAATGAATCATGACATCATAGAAAATTAGGTTAGGCTTTTTTTTTTTTTTTTTTTTTTTTGCAAAGCAAATCTCTCTTTTTACAGACAGGGAAGCTGGGCTCACTGAGGGAGCGCTGTCAAGCGGCCGCATTGGGTTTGTTGTGGAGCAGAGCTGGGGCTGCCTTGCCTCTCGGGCTCTGGGAGTGCTGAGGATGGGGAGGCTGGGCTGGAGAGGGGCCAGGAGGATGCTCGGGGCGGGCTGGGGTGGAGCTGGCTGAGGAGTCTTCTGCCTGTTTGTTCTGGGTACTGGGAGATGCAGGCGGGGAGACACCGGGTAGAAAGGGCAAAGTCCTCATTTTTGGCCTTGGGGGAGTTAATGTCTAATATTCTAGGATATAAGCTTGACCACGAGTTGAGACCCTGAGCACAGGCCTCCAGGAGCCGCTGGGAGCTGCCGCCGGGAACTGTCGCCACGATGGTGAGGACACCAGCCCCCAGCTGCCTGCACCACTGCGTTCATCTATGTCTTTGCCTTGGTGGGGGCTTTTAGGGAAAACCATTGTTGTCCCTCTCTGGGCCTCAGTTTCCCCATCTGTGCAGCAAAGAAGTTGGACAGGGGTCTTTATTTTTAAACAGTGTCTTGCTCTGTCGCCAGGTGGAGTGCAGTGCTGGCGATCACAGTGCTGGAGGTCACTATAGATTTGACCTTCTTGGCTCAAATGATCCTCTTGCCTCAGTGTCTTGAGTACCTGGGACCCCAGGCATGCAGCACCACACTACCTAATTTTGCTTCTTTTTTTTTTTTGAGATGGGGTCTTGCTCTATTGCCCAGGCTGGAGTGCAGTGGCACAATCTTGGCTCACTGAAACCTCTGCCGCCTGGGTTCAAGCAATTCTCCGGCCTCTGCCTCCCAAATAGCTGGGATTACAGGCATGCGCCACCACACCTGGCTCATTTTTTGTGTTTTTAAAGTAGAGACAGGTTTCATAAAGTTGGCCAGGCTGGTCTTGAACTCTTGACGTCAAATGATCCTCCCACCTTGGCCTCCCAAAGTGCTGGGATTACAGGCACGAGCCACTGCGTCCGGCCTATTTCTTATTTTTTGTAGAGATGAGGTCTCACTGTGTCGCTCAGGCTGATCTCACTGGGCTCAAGTGATCCTCCCGCCTTGGACTCCCAAAGTGCTGAGATTCCACGTGTGAGCTACTGTGCCTGGCCTCCACTGATCTTTAGGGGAATAAAAAATCTCAGCTTGGGCAATGTAGTAAGATCTTGTCTGCTATAGGTGCATGGTACTATGCCCCGCCTTAAAAAGTTAGCTGAGCATAGTGGTACGCTCCTGTAGTCCCAGCTACTCGGGAGGCTGAGGTTGGAAGATCACTTGAGACCAGGAGATTGATTGAGGCTGCAGTGAGCCATAATTGCACCATTTATGGGTGACAGAGTGAGACCTTGTCTCACACACACGCACATGCACATACACTCACACACACACACACACACGCATGCACGCACTCCAAGGCTTGGAGAGTGAACTGCCCAAGGCCACAAGCTGCAAATGCAGAGGGCTGAGTAGATCCCCACTGAGGTCCCTGATTCTTTGATTCTACACCTGTCCCTGCCATAGCTTACTGTGTGGCCTTGGCCAAGTCACTAACCCTCTCTGAGCCCCAGTTTTCCCCACATCTGTGGAATGGGCTGATAGGCAGCATCTTCTGAGGATTAGATGGTATATTCATTGCCTAAGGTTGCAGTAACAAGTTACCACCAAATTGTGGGTGGCTTCGCACAATAGATGTTTATTCTCTCTAAACAATGTCTAAAGCCTGGAACCAGGGGGCTACAGGGCTACACCCCTGCTGAAGGTGCTGGCGGGGGGCGGGGGGGTCCTTTCTGGCCTTTTTCAGCATCTGCTGGCTCCTGGCATTCCTTGGCTTGTATCCTTGTATCATTCTAATCTCTGCCTCTGACTTCACATGGCCTCCTCTGTATGTCTCTGTCTTTGTGTCCATATTTCTCTCCTCTTTTTTTTTTTTTTTTTGAGATGGATTCTCACTCTCACCCAGGCTGGAATGTAGTGGCGCAGTCTTGGCTCACTGTAACCTCTGCCTCCTGGGTTCAAGTGATTCTTCTGCTCAGCCTCCCGAGTAGCTGAGATCACAGGCACGTGCTACCACGCCCAGCTGATTTTTATATTTTTAGTAGAGAGGGGGTTTCACCATATTGGCCAGGCTGGTTTCCAACTCGGGACCTCGTGGTCTGCCCACCTCAGCCTCCCAAAGTGTTGGGATTCCAGGCGTGAGCCACTGCGCCTTGCCCGTATTTCTCTCTTCTTATGAGGACATAGGTTGTATTGGATTTACGACCAACCCTAAACCAGTATGGCCTCTGACCTCTTAACTCGATCATATCCGCAAAGGCCCTATTTTAAAGTAGGTCACATTGAGGCCAGGTGCAATGGCTCACACCTGCAATCCCAGCACTTTGGGAGGCCGTAGGCGGCAGATCACCTGAGGTCAGGAGTTCAAGACCAGCCTAGCCAACATGGTGAAACCCCCATCTCTACTAAATACACAAAAAAAATAAAAAATTAGCCAGACGTAGTGGCAAGCACCTGTAATCCCAGCTGCTTGGGAGACTGAGGCAGGAGAATCGTTAGACGTGTGTGTGTAGGGTACATGTCTGTGAATGCCTGCTGTGTGGTGGACACACTTGTGTTCTGCTTCTTGTTTGAGTCCTTTTGGGACTGTCCTCACTGGGTAACCTCATCTCCTGGAGATAATGCTGTTTGCTAGCGAGAGACTGATTTTAATCCCATCTGCCTGGCCCCAAGATCTGGACCCTGCTATTACATTAATTGCAGACTTGGGGGTGTTAGGTGTCCAGCCTCCAAACCCCACTTTCTCTAAAGCAGGGAGGTTTTGCCCCCCAGGGGACATTTGACCCTGTCTGCAGACATTTTTGGTCATCACAGCTCAGGGGAGGGTGTCACTGGCATCCAGTGGGTAGAGGCCAGGCCAGCCCCAACAAAGAGATGCCTGGGCCAGGCGAGGTGGCTCACGCCTGTAATCCCAGTATTTTGGGAGGCCAAGGTGGGCGGATCACCCGAGGAGGGGAGTTTGAGACCAGCCTGACCAACATGGAAAAACCCTGTCTCTACTAAAACTACAAATATTAGCTGGGTGTGGTGGCGCATGCCTGTAATCCCAGCTGCTCGGGAAGCTGAGGGAGGAGGATCGCTTGAACCTGGGAGGTGGAGGTTGCAGTGAGCCAAGATCGTACCATTGTACTCCAGCCTGGTTAACAAGAGCGCAAAGAAATAGCAACTGTCTGACGTGCCACTGTCACAGCCCACTGTCTCCCCCGTCTGGTTAAGCATTGCTGCCTCTTCTAGATGGGCCGAGACCTCGTGCCTCTAACACAGTCATTTTCCATCTCACATTTTTGTGTCTGGGGTTCTGCTGAGGGCAGTGTGATTTCATCACTTGAACACTTTGTGAGTTTCACAAAGCGAAACTGGGAAGCACTCTGCCATTTCATAGATGGGCACACTGAGCCTCACCCAACTGGGCCCTGTGCCTCAGGCTGGGGTGGATAAGAGCAAAACAGGGCAGGGCATGGGGAACTCTGGGAGGCCATGATCCAAGCCTCTGGCTCTGCCGCTTCCCGGCGTGGTGGCCTCCTGTGTCCTCATGTGGGCAGGGGGATTGTGAGACCTGCAGCTAAGCTGGGGTGAGGTGGGTGAAGGTGCTGGGCAAGCGTGGGATTGATTTTCTGTGGGGACTGTTTCTCTGTTGGCCCAGGGGGAATTTGAGGTTAAGAACATGAAGCTGGGGTCGACCGTGAAGATCACAGGCAGGATCGACGACGGCGCTGATGGGTGAGCAAGGTTGCGGGGTGGGGGTGGTCCCCAGGCCTAGAACAGGCAGGGCGGGTGGGGCAGCCCTGTGGAGTGGTCAGGCCAGAGGGACCTCTTTCTTTTCTTTTCCTTTTTTTTTTTTTGAGATGGAGTCTTGCTCTGTTGCCCAGGCTGGAGTGCAATGTTGCGATCTCAGCTCACTGCAACCTCCGCCTCCTGGGTTCAAGCACTTTTCTGTCTCGGCCTCCTGAGTAGCTAGGATTACAGGTGCGCACCACCACAGCTGGCTAATTTTTGTATTTTTAGTAGAGATGGGGTTTCACTATGTTGGCCAGGCTGGTCTTGAACTCCTGAACTGTGATCCATCCGCCGTGGCTTCCCAAAGTGCTGGGATTACAGGTGTGAGCCATTCCGTATGGCCAAGGGGCCCTTTTTCACACCCTTCTCCCCACACCCCTGCTGGCTACCTTTCTGTGGGGTCTGCCTTCATGCCTGAGGCCAGGTTTGGGGACCTGCAGAATTTCAGACTTGATGCCATATGCTCTGTTCCTTGGCCCCAACAGACATCGAAGGGGCAGGTGGAGAAGCCCCTGGAACTCTGCCTGGCCCCCTGCGGGGCAGGTACCTCTAGGGAAAGCCCAAATCCCCAGAGACACTACAGTCTTTACCCAGTGGAATGGCCACGGGCCAGTCTTTGACGCGCATAAAACTGGGGCAGCTGCCAGGGGATGCTGAGTGGTCTCCCGGGCACCCTCTTGGTTAGAACCCGAGGCCTCAGACACCACCTCGGTGACTCACTGTCTAGCGAAGGGCTCCCTAGCCTGCAGAACCTGTCAGTGCGTCTTGGAACTGCTCTTTATCTACTTTTGGTTGGGGAGGGGGCAGGCAGGTGCAAGTCATAGGAGCCAAGAGAAGGCCAGGTGTGGTGGCTCGCGCCTGTAATCCCAGCACCCTGGGAGGCCAAGGCAGGTGGATTGCCTGAGGTCAGGAGTTCCTGACCAGCTTGACCAATATGGTGAAACCCTGTCTTTACTAAAAATACCAAAATTAGCTGGGCGTGGTGGCGGGTGCCTGAAATCCCAGCTACTCGGGAGGCTGAGGCAGGAGAATCGCTTGAACCCGGGAGGTGGCAGTTGCAGTGAGCCGAGATGGCACCACTGCACTCCAGCCTGGGAATCAGAGGGAGACTCCATCTCAAAATATAAGAAGTAAAAATAAAGGAGCTAAGAGAAAAATGACCTCTTTCTCCTAGGGTTCCTCAAATTGCCAAAATGTGTGATACCCTTGGTCTGAGACTCCTGAATGAAGGTACCCCATGACCCAGAATGCCTCACTTTCAGGAACCCTGAAGGTCTAACCAAGGCTCCTGTAGTGATCCTGCCAAGAAGTAATAACACCCCGGTTACTTCCCTGTAGTGATGGGGAACTCACCACCTTAGGCTGGCTGTTTGTGGTGAAATGTAATAGGTCTTCAGGTATCTAAGAGATAGCATTTAGTCTCCCAGGAGAGCCACCCCTAATTCCTGAAGCTGTCGCCATCAGCTGCCCTTCCACCAACAGCTTTGATCCCTGCTCCAAATGGAAATGTGCCCCCACAGCGCCGAGTCCGGCCCAGGTGTTACCGCCCTTGTTTTAAGGCACAGACCTCAACTAACACGAGCTTTGATTCTTCCAGCTTGTGGTCCACAAAGATCCTCCAACCCAAGCTGCTTTATCCAGGCCTGAGCCCTGAGCCCTAAGCCTCACCTGCTACCCCTTCCCCTGCAGCTTTGTAATTAATCTGGGCCAGAAGACAGACACGCTGAACCTGCATTTCAACCCTCACCTCAGTGAATCCACCATTGTCTGCAACTCGCAGGATGGCAGCAACTGGGGACAAGAACAACGGGATCACCTGTGCTTCAGCCCAGGGTCCGAGATCAAGGTGAGGTCAAGGGGAGGGCCCAGATGGGAGGGAGTCTGGCCGGGACACAGATGCTGGCACCGTTTGAGCCAACAGGCACTGCCCTGGCCCATTTCCGGGTCCTCCTGCCTCCTTGACACCCTCCCTCTCTACAGTTCACGGTGACCTTTGAGAGTGACAAATTCAATGTGAAGCTGCCGGACGGGCACCAGCTGACCTTTCCCAACAGGCTGGGCCACAGCCACATGAGCTACCTGAGTGTGAGTGGAGGATTCACCTTGTCCTCTTTCAAGTTAAAATAAAAGACCTCCAGCCGAGATTCCCCGTCCTGGGTTTTCTTAGGAGTCCCACCAGGATCAACAGCCCTTGGGTCCTGGGTGTGTCCCCTACTGCTGTCTGCAGTTCCTGCCCCAAGGCCCAAAGCAAGCAAAATAAGCCATTGAGTCTTCCTGTGGCAAGAACTGTGGTTTGTGACTCAGTCTCCTGGGTCCCTCAAGTTTAGAAAAACACTGGATACCCCTGGTCTGTGGACTCCTGAATGAAGGCACCCCATGATCTAGAATGTCCCGCTCTCAGGGATCCTGAAGGTCTAGCCCAGGATCCCGTAGTGATCCCACCACACATCCTCTGGTCACATACCTCGACTGCCAGGGAGCTCACCACCTTATGTTGACTGTGGCTAAATGTAACACGTCTTCAAATACCTAAGCACGGGGTTTCTCTTTTCGTGCATTTTAATGCTCCTGGCATTTTTATGATACAGAGGAGGCAACTGAGATACAAGGACCCCTGACTGCCATGCTGGGAGGCTGAGACATGCTCCCAACAGTCCTATGCAGTGCTCCTGTCTACCTGCCCCCACTATTGCCAGAGCAAATGCCACCCTGCCCTGTGGGATTATGGGCAGACACCAGTCCCAGGCACCTGGGCCAGCGGCCATTCCGGAACTGCAGATAAGAGCTCCCACCTGGGCTTCTTATCACAGGGGCATTCCAGCCTGGTTACTCATTACCCTCCCCTTGGTGCTCCCCTCTCCTCCCCTGCTGGGGGCCTCGATGGGGGGTCCATGGCTTTCTAAACTCCCTGGTGGGGGGACTTAAGCAGGTGTGGAGCGGATGCCGTTCTCCCAGCTGCCCAAGCACCTTGCAGGACGCCTTTTATCAAAACAGCCTTATTTAATCAGGTCCCAGAGGCAGGTCTGGAGTATACAGGCAGGTGGGATTTCTCCCCGTGAGCTCATACCTGACCTTCCTGGGATAACTGGGAGGCTGGGAAAGTGGCCTGGGATAGGGCTGTCACAGTTGCAGTGGGGACACTCTGGGATGAGCTGGGGGCAGGCGGTCCCTTTGGGAGGTGAGACAATGGCCTTGTGTGGTATACTCCCTGCCCCCCACCCCACACGGACAGCTTGGTCTGGCACAAAGGCCACACTGTGAGGCTGGCCCCTCCAGCTGGTGGGGGTGGCATGGGGTGGGGCCGAAGGAACAGCTATTAGGTCCAGAGTGGCAGTGGGGGGAGGTGGTCAGCCTGGCAGGCCCCTGGGAGCTTCCAAGTCCCAGAGCAAGCCTGGCTGTCCCTGTCCTTTCTCCCACATCTGTCCTGCAGAGGCGGGGAGGAACTTGGGGCAACTCGGCTTCTCCCCTCTCTGGTGTGGCAGGAATCAGCTGTTAGGTGAGGGGCTGGCTCTGCACCTAGGTGGGGCCCTGAGAACAGGCCCCAGTCCCTCAAACCTTGACCTCATCATCCTCTTCAGCATCCGCAAATTCGAAGGTGTGTGTTTGCACTGTGCTGGGCACCGGGGTCCTGGTGCCCACCTGGGGTGCCCTCCACTCTTTGTCCAGGCTCTCCCAGGAGGCCCGGGCTTGGGGTAGCACCTCCACTCGCTCCTGCCGCGTATATGGGTAATGGAGGTCACCACCCCAGCCTGCTCCCCAGTGCCTGCTGAGGGCTGGGTCAGCAGGTCCTCGGGGACCCCCTCCCACTGGGCTGGCCTTCACCTCCACCACTGGGCCCAACCCGGCTGTTACCCCATTGGGACAGCGTCCACGGGGTGTGGAGCTTGCGGCAGGGGCTGGGAGGTTTGCAGTAGGAGCCGGGGAGTTTGCAGGAGGGGGTAGGGGGTTTGCAGCAGGAGCTGAGGGGTTTGCAGCAGGGGCTGGGGTCTCAGCTGCAGGGGTTTCCGGGAGGCTCATGACCCCCAGCAGCTCGCTGAGGAGCGAGGGCCCAAGGTCGAGGTCCAGGCGGAAGGACAAGAGAGAGTCAGAGCGGCGGAGCCCCGGCTCAGAGGGGAAGGAACCATCCCGGTCTCCGTCATGCGGCTTTTCTGAGCGGGGCAGGCGGGAGATTGTGCAGAACCCAGAGTCCAGGCCTAGAAAAGAAATGGGCAATGGGCTCAGAGCTGGGGTCCCTCACCAGGAATTAAGGAGGGGGGACAGGACCAGTCCTGGCTTGCCGTGTGGCCTCTGGCAAGCCCCTCCCCTCTCTGGCCTCAGTTTCTCCCATCTTTCCAATATAATACACTCCATGGTCTCCTGTGTGATCTCCTGTCTATCCCGAACTGAAAGGCGTCACCCTCATTTCCACTCTGCAGATGAGGCAACTGTGACCTCGGCCATGGCCAGCTCCCTGCCATGACGCTGGCCGATGGCTGCAGGGGAACCCAGAGCACGAGGCTGGTTTGTGGACACAGGATGGGACCAGCAGTCAGGGTCTGATTGCATAGAAATGAAGGACAGACACATGCTTTCCCAAGGTCATCTAGTCCAGCTCCTGCATCCAGGACCACAGACCTGAGACATAATCGTGTTTCTGTGGATGGGTCCTCTGTGCGTTCTGAGCAGCCAGTCGCCTGTGGCAGGAGCATTAGAGTATTTGCCCCAAAGGTGGGAGTGAAGCCGCAAGGCAGGGAGTGGCCACCAGGTGGCAGCAGGGGCCCATGGTTCCCAGGTGAGCGCTTCCCTAACAGCCAAGGTGGCGCTTCTGGCTGGGCAGGAAGGGCCCTGGCTTGCGGGCCCCTGTGAGTGGGTTTCCAGATTTGTCGAGTTACAGGAAACCAAGTTCAAATAACAACTGCTCTGGTGTCCCGAGCACCTACTGCATACCAGCCCCTGGGCCTCTCCTGGCACTGGATCTTAGCAATGACCCCAGAAACTCATTATCTAGGTGAGGACTTGAACTTATAGAAGTCAGTTGACTTCCTGGAAATCAGGCAGAACTGGATTGGAATCCAGAGCCCCGGCGACCCTTCACCTCTCCATAGTATCATTCTGACATGTGGTTGAAGCGGGCGAGAACAGGAGGTTGACTGGTTCTGCCGAGGCCGAGACGGGGAGGTGCTTGCCGCGGTCACAGCAAGTGAGGGGCAGCTAGAACTCAAACTCCACCCCCTCGCTCTCAACCCCGGGTGTTTTGGGGAGCCAGCCTGTTCCCACCTCTGCAGCCCCTCCCCATCTATGATGTGGGGTTTGGGCCTGACCTCTGTGGTGAGACCAAGGGACCTGGGGAAAAGAGCTCATTCGGAGCTTGGAGGAGCCCCTGAACCCCTCTGGGCCTCAGCCTCAGCCTCTGAAAAGTGGGTCAGTAACCCAGGTTCTCACCGTAGCTGGAGCGGCCATCTGTGGAGCTGGCAGGGCTGCCGTCGAAACTGAGCTTGCCAACCACGAGGCTGTCGTAGGCGGCCTGGTTGAGCTGAGGCAGGGAGATGGCGTTCTTGATGATGGGGGAGATGGCTGGTGGAGCCGGTGAGGGCGCAGGTGGAGACGCCATCCTCCGGGGGAGCGCCCCCACCCTCCGCACCAGCTGCAGCTTCTTGGCCAGGAAGCTGCGGGGTGAGCGATGGGTGCCCCCGGAGCTGCCACCATGGTTGCTGAGGAAGGAGGTGTCCCCAAAGACGTCTCCGCCACGGCCCACGTGCATGGTGTGGCGGAAGTCCCCGAGTGGGGGGCTGATCATGTCTGCAGTCAGCCGCCTCTTTCCCTGGGAACTGGACACCCAGCCCACAGGTGAGAGCTTGCCCAGGCTCATAGTGGGGGCGCCTCCGCCCCCCTGGGGGCCAGGCATCAGCTCTGGCGGCTCACAGCCACTAGTCCATGCCCACCAGGGGCTGGGGGAGGGAGGTGGGTTGCGCTGGGGACCGGTGCTCAGCTCCTTTGCCCTGGAGGAAGCTGTGGATGACGCTCTCCTAAGGTGAGGTCCCTGAATGCTGAGGCTGTGGGGGCTCCATGGCTCGTCTCTCCCCGGGGCCCGGCTCCCAGCCCCTCAGAAGCAGCTGTAGATGTTCAAGCACAGAGAAAGCACCCCCAAGGGGGTCAGCTTCTCTCCTGCCCAGGGTGGTTTCCTGGAAGGAAGACAGAAAGGGTGGTGACAGCAGGCCCGGGGCAGAGGAGGAAATCCGGGGTCCAAACACGGGCAGCTGAAGCGGACAGAGAGACAATCAACCCAACCACATGGATGGAGGGGTCCGGCCGATGCGGGACAGAAGCCAGGCACAACGGGACTCAAGTGAGTCCGTGTATAGAAAGTTCCAGAACACAGCCAGGCTTGGTGGCTCACACCGGTAATCCCAGCACTTTGGGAAGCTGAGGCAGGTGGATCACCTGAGGTCGGGAGTTTGAGACCAGCCTGGCCAACATGGAGAAACCCTATCTCTACTAAAAATACAAAAATTAGCCGGTGTGGTGGCGAATGTCTGTAATCCCAGCTACCAGGGAGACTGAGGGAAGAGAACTGCTTGAACCCAGGAGGCAGAAGTTGCGGTGAGCTGAGAGTGCACCACTGTACTCCAGCCTGGGCAATAAGAGCAAAACTCCACCTAAAGAAAAAAAAGGCTGGGTGCGGTGGCTCACGCTTGTAATCCCATCACTTTGGGAGGCCGAGGCAGGTGGATCACGAGGTCAGGAGATCAAGACCACCCTGGCCAACACAGTGAAACCCTATCTCTACTAGAAATACAAAAAATTAGCCGGGCGTGGTGGTGCATGCCTGTAGTCCCAGCTACTCCAGAGGCTGAGAGAGGGGAATTGCTTGAACCCTGGAGGTGGAGGTTGCAGTGAGCCAAGACTGCACCACTGCACTCCAGCCTGGGCCACAGAGCAAGACTCCATATCAAAAGAAAAGAAAAAAAAAAAAAAAAGAACAGGCATAACCAATCGATGCCATCAGAAATCAGAATGATGGCAGTGTCCGAGCAGGTACTGACTGAACAGAGGACAAAGAATTCATCGAGCTATATGCTTAGCTGTGTATCAGGAAAAACAGAAGCACCCATTCTAAGTCTGAGCAACATAATGAGACCTAGTTTCTACAAAAATATTTAAAAGCACTTCGTTGGGCGTGGTGGTATGTGCTTGTGGTTCTAGCTACTCAGGAGGCCAAGAAGGGAGGATTGCTTGAGCCTGGGAGATGGAGGCTGCAATGAACCGTGATTGTGTCACTGCACTCCAGCTGGATGAAAGAGCGAGGCCCTGTCTCAAAGAAAAAAGAAAGCGCTCATTCTGCAGGTCGACTTATGAAGCACTTACTAAGTGCCAAGACGTCACCTGCATCATCGTTTAAACCCAATACAATACTCCTGAGGGAAGCACGATGTTAGAGAGGGGAAACTGAGGCACAGAATGACGTAACTTGCCTGAGGCTACATCATAGGAAACAAACAGGCCCCACATCCCAGAGCCCTGGAGTCCCAGGCTACACTGCCTCCTGCTGCAGCATTAAGTCACCTCCCTTCTCTGTGCATTAAAACCTCTGCCACCCAGAGATGGCAGGAGGGAGCGGACGCCTCGCCAAGGCTTTGTGAAGCTGGGTAAACGGTCAGAGCAGAGGCTCCTCTGAACCCTCCACCTTCAAGGAGCTTCCTGGAATAAGGATCCTGTGGTCAAAAGTGGCTTTTTTCAGCTGCCCCCTCCATGCATGAGCATATTCAAGGGTCTGAGAAGGCCCGCAGGAAAAGACTATCACAGTTTGTCAAATTGCTATAGGAGCCTTGTTGTCAGGGAACAAGCTTTGGAAAAAGCTCAGCTAGTGCCAAAAGCTATTTCTTGCCCATCTCTCCCTTCCTGATTCCCCACCCCCACCCCCACCACAGACACACACACACACACACACCCCCTCCCAGTTCCAGCCTCTCTAAGGATCGCTTGTTCTGACCTCTTCCTTCTAGTATCATAACAAGTCCAGGCTAGAGGGCACCTGTGCTCCTTCGGTCTCACCTCTGGTTTTCCTGTGGCCCAGAGAGGACCAAGCTGGCTCAAGGTCAGATCTAGAGCTAGTCGAGACTTGAACTCAAAGCCTCTGACTCACAAGCCCTTCACTGGCTTGTGGAACCCAGTCTGGCCTTATGAGATCAGCAACGCACTGGGAGGGTGAGGCGGCCGCCTGGATTTTCCTGCCTTCCTCCCTCGGGCACCCAGCTTGGGCTCTGCACTTAGCAAGTGCCAAATTAATGCCAGGTGAATCACAGATCTCTGCGATAACCCGGCACGGTGAAACATCACCCCGACCCCTTCTGAGAGTGGGAGGGCAGGCTGGGTACCCGGTGTCCTCACACTGTGACCTTGGGCAAGTCACTTACCTACACAGACCTGGGACCTCAGCTGATCAACGTCAATCATGATCCTTAACAAGAACACCTACATCTGTGGCTCAGCCGGCTTCCTTTTTTATAAACCACTGCTGCCTCCTCCAAGCATAAACATCTCAATACTGCCCTTCGGATGTTATTTGAAATTCAAAATAGGTTAAATAACAAATCAGAACAAAGAAGGCAATAGGACAAAGCTTGCTTTGTTACTGGACTGCATTCTCTTCCCTTCCCACCATCTGATCCTCCCCCAACCCTAACTCCTCCCCCTGGATGGTGGAGGGGGGGGTGCTTCTGAATCATCCTTTTCCCTCCCTGGCACCCCCGGCACCACGACGTCCTCATGGAATGTTTGCTGAAGTTCTGAAGCGCTCCACAGATGGCCAACCATTACATGATGTCATCTGATTCTCCAACAACCCCACAGAGCTGCAGGGTGGCCCGTCTGACAGGGAGCGCTGAGGTGCGGAGGGAAGGAGGAACTGTCCAGGGTTAAGTGACAGGTTCCTGGCAGGGCCAAGTTTCCCTGCCCAGCAGGGTTTAAGGATGTGTCTCTGGGGGAAGGAATGGGGGTGGGGTGGGGTTCCTGTGCTGTAAAATGTCATGCAGAAGGGTCTGCCATGTGGCCTCACCCACTTGCCCCCACCCCAGCTCCCTGACTTTTTTCTTTTAAGACTGAGTTTGGCTCTTGTTGCCCAAGCTGGAGTGCAGTGACGTGATCTCAGCTCACGGCAACTCCCACCTCCTGGGCTCAAGTGATTCTCCTGCCTCAGCCTCCCCAGTAGCTGGGATCACAGGTGCGTACCACCATGCCCAGTTAATTTTGTATTTTTAGCAGAGATGGGGTTTCTCCATGTTGGTCATGGCTAGTCTCAAACTCCCGACCTCAGGTGATCCACCTGCCTCAGCCTCCCAAAGTGCTGGGATTATAGGCGTGAGGCACCTCAACCAGACTTTTTTTTTTTTTTTTGAGGCAGGGTTTCACTCTGCCACCCAGGCTGAGTGCAGTGGCTCCATCACAGCTCACTGCAGCCTCAAACTCCCAGGCTCAAGTGATCCTCCCAACTCAGCCTCCTGAGTAGCTGGGACTACAGGCACACCCCACCATGCTCAACTAATATTTTTTCCACTTTTTGTAAGGACAGGGTGTCACAACATTGCTCGGGTTAGTCTCAAATTCCTGAACTCAAGCTATCCTCCTGCCTCAGTCTCCCAAAGTGCTGGGGTTACAGGTGTGAACCACCACGCCTGGCCTCCTTGACTTCTTAAGGCAGGACCTCTTCTCCCAGCAAGAAGGGCTCCTCCTCCTTGAACTCCCATGGTCACTTTTGACTGGGGGGACCAGCTTCCTCCCCAATCTTGTGATGATCCCATCTTTCAAATGTTTCTGGGCACCCCCCAAGAGTACCCCCCCTCCATTCCACCCTGCCTACTGTGGTAGAGAGACCCTGCAGCACAATGGGGCTGAGGGCAGGGCACTGCTCCTGGGATCCGTCTTCCCACGTGGAAATGACAGGCAGTTCCCTCCCAGGGGAGTTGTAAGGGTAGAAATGTAATGAAACCCTCAGATGCTGGAGCAGGGCAGCTAGGGGTTTAAATCTGTCACCTTTACACTAACATCTCTTATTCCAGGAACCCCTGGTGACAGCCATGTGGCATTTACTGCTAACCACAGGGCACTCACTGCTGGCCATCAGGTGTGCCTCACCTGGCACTGGAGTAAGCAGGGCTCCAAGTGTCCTGGTGCCAGGTTCACCTCCCCTCACCTGCCCAGGAATAGCGCCTGTTAGTGTTCAGCTCACCCCTTTTACAGATGGAAAAAACGAGGCTCAGAAAGGAGGCATTTACCCTCAATCACAGACCAACATCGCTGGTAAATGCCCCAGGGTGGGGGTGAAGGTGATGGGGAATGGGGAAGGGGAGGTGGAGGGCTTGGATGCCCAGTCCTGAGCAAGGCATGGGTTGCGGTGCAGGCCTGGAATACAGGAGACCCAGCTCTGCAGATTCGGTGCCTGTGACCTTGGCAAGGAGGTCACCACACAGCCTCGGTGTCCCTGGAGTCCTTATATTTACCGTGTAGATACAGTCAGGGCCTGGGCGCAGGGCCTGAGCTCACTCAGCGGTGGAATGACACAGGGACAAGTTTTGGAGCCAGGATCGTGCCAACAGGGGTCGCTGTGGATGCACATGTGCTCTGGGGGAGGCCAGGGGCGGCTCTGAAGGGCTCCGGGGCGGCTGCAGCCTGGCATTCTCCTGGGGGCCACCCGCAGGCCGCAGGGCTGGCCAGGGCCCCACGTTTCATCCTAGAGGTCTCTGCTCGGGTGCACACAGCCCCCTTCCTGCGGGCATCCAGCTGGGTGACACCCCCCTTACCAACCGCTGGACAGCAGCTCCCCCAAACCTGCGCTGGCCCCTGGGATAAGGGGTTAACCCGAGGGGCTGGCTTCTCCTGCCCCTCAAAGTCCAGACGTTTCAAGGTTGAGAGATGGGGAAACAGAAGCCAGAACGGGGTAGCTAGTTGTCCTCAGGCTCGCTAGGGGACCCGGTCCTCCGTATTCCAAGGGGGGCACCATGGTCCATTAGGGAGCGACAGGGACAGTGGAAAGGAGTCGCGCTTCGTGCCCACCGCCCCGAGTTAGAGCCGAATCAGCCCTGGACCGCACGAGGCGGAGCGGCCGCGGGCCGCGTCTCGGGTCCCCGCGCCACGTTTCTTGCGGCTGCGGCCTCCGGACCAGTCCCTTCTCATCTCTAAGCCTCAGTTTCCCGGTCTAGGAAAAGGGCCTCGAAAATCGCGGGTCTGGCACGGCTGGGGCGAAGGCAGAACGATCTGGAGGGCGGCCGGGATTGGAAGTCCAAGAAGGGCTTCGGCCATCCCACATTCTCTGCGGGGACGGGCTCAGGACGCGGAGGGTCGCTCCGCCGGGGAAGGGGCCGGCTGGCTGTCTTGGCCAGAGGGGAACCGGACGGGATGACCTCATCCGTGGCTCCAGCCTGGAATGCGGCGGTCGGGAAGGGGGCAGGGTGCCTGTCCATCTCCCTGGGCCCCCCCACCCCCCACTTCCCGCTCTCCGCGTGGGCCTCGGCGGAGGGGAGACATTCCGCGGCGTCGCCCGCCCCCCGCCCCGGCCCTTCCTTTCCAAGAGCAGGAAGGCGCGGAGATGGCCCCCGTTCGGCCCCTCGGCTCGCCCCCTCCGGGCGCAGTTTGGCAGCTCAGCCCCGTCCGATCTTCTGCCCTGTCCGCCCGCCCGGAACGCACGACAGCCTGAAAGCTCGGAGTTTCCCCGCGCGGCTCCGCGGCCGTGCCGGGCCTTTCCGTGCGCTCCTGGAGGCGCCTCTCCCGGGCGGGTCCCCTCCCCGTCCCGGCCTCGGGAGCCTAGGAGGGTGCAGAGCCCCCGCAGGCGCCGGGACCCACCGGCCTCCACGGACCGCCCCCGCCTCGAGACCCGCGCGCCGCGGCTGTTACCTGGTTCCGTGAACCCCGGGGGCGCGGGACGAGGGCGGACTCGTCGTCGGCAGCGGCGGCGGCCGCGCGTCCCGGCTGGCAGCCCGGGAGAGTCGCTGGGCCGGTCTGCGCCGCCCTGGCCGCAGGCTCCGCGGGCTGGATCCGGGGGCGGGGGCTGGGTGTGGGCGCTCCCGCCTCCCGCCCCTCTCCTCCCGCCCGCGGGCGGGGCCCAGACCTCTCCCCGGCCCCCTCCCCGAACCGTACATGCGGCCGAGAGTTGGCAAGGGGGACACGGCAGCGGGGTGGCCAGGCCAGGCCTCTGCTCGCCGCCCCAGACAGGGCCAGCCGGGGAACGCGCGGTCTGCCCCGGGGAGACGACTCCGGTCCCCGGCCGCCAACCCCTCCCCACAGGTTCCCCGCGTGGGCTTGGGGCGTCCAGGCCTGATGAGCTCTCCTCCCTCCTGGGCCCTCCAGCCGCTCCCTGCGGGTGTTTGGGGAACCAGGAAGCTCGATCTGAGGCCCTGAATGCCTGGGCCTTTAAACCTTGATTTTTACAAGCTTGGGATGCCCACTCCCTTCCTCCCTATTCCCATTCCCTTACACCCGGTCCAGGCCCTGCGGCGCCAAGGAGGAAGACAGCCACACTGGGGCGCAGGCCACGCAGGCACTGGTAGAGTGAGGTGGAGTGGCCGTCAGGGCCAGGACCCTGGAGCGCGGCAGCCTGGGTTCCTGTCCTGCCTCAGTCACTGCTTACCTTTCTGTGCCTCAGTTTCCACATCTGAAAGTGGGATAGATAATAGCATCAGATGTGTTAAGTATTCTCTGCTCTAAGAGCACCTCGGAGTCTTGCTCGCAAGTAAATGAGATTGCATCTCAGAGACTTTACAGATCCCACCACCACCTCCATGGGGGGCAGGAAATCAGCCCTACCCAGGACCCTGTGCCATCCTCAAGGAGGGGAGATCGATCTGGCCCCTGCCTCCTGTTGTTGTGCCCTCCTCTGACTACTCCCCTCTGACTATAGAGTCTTCTGGGTGTCAGGGCACAGAAGAGGTCCCTAACACTGCCTGGGGGGCATGGGGGCTCAGGAAAGCTTCCTAGAAGGATGATACCTGAGTTGTCTTTTTTTTTTTTTTTTGAGACAGAGCCTCACTCTGTTACTCAGGCTGCAGTGCAGTGGCACCATCTCCACTCACTGCAAACCTCCATCTCACCGGTTCAAGCGATTCTCCCACCTCAGCCTCCAGACTAGCTGGGATTACAGGCACCCACCCATGCCTAGCTAATTTTTGTATTTTTTAGTAAAGAGGGAGTTTAGCCATGTTGGCCAGGCTGTTCTTGAACTCCTGACCTCAGGTGATCACCCGCCTCAGCCTCCCAAAGTGGTGGAATTATAGGTGTGAGCCACCATGCAGCCGTGAGCTAAATCTCCAAGGACGTGTAGGCCGAGGCAGGGGCAGTGAAAATGTACGGTGTGCAGCTGGCAGAGGACAGCACAGCAAAGGCTGGGAGCCAAGGACCCGGATGAGGAGGCAAACCCGGCTGGAGGAGACGGGCTGAGCGCTGTCATGGCCAAGGATGAGGAGCTGTATTTACCCGCAGGTGGAGACAAGGTCTTTACTGTCCACCCAGGGGCTAGGCTCCCTGAATCCCCATGCTGGCCACCACGGGAAGGAGTTATTTCCACAGCTGAACAAATGAGGAAACAGGCACAAAGCATTCTAGCATTTGCTCAAGTGGCACAGCAGTAGGAACTCTTTCCCTGGGGGCCAGCCCAGGAGCCTTTTGTCCCATGGAGAATTGGAAAAGCGTGGGGACAGTGAGCCAGTAGGCAGCCCTGGCAGGTATGCATTTGGAAGTCTAACTGTCGGCCGGGCACAGTGGCTCATGCCTGTAATCCCAGCACTTTGGGAGGCCAAGGCAGGCAGATCACGAGGTCAGGAGATCAAGACCATCCTAGCTAACACGGTGAAACCCTGTCTCTACTAAAAACACACACAAAAAATTAGCCAGGTGCAGTGGCACGCGCCTGTGGTCCCACTACTTAGAAGGCTGAGGAAGGAGAATTGCTTGAACACAGGAGGTGGATGTTGCAGTGAGCCGAGATCGTGCCACTGCACTCCAGCCTGGGCGACAGAGTGAGACTACATCTCAATTAAAAAAAAAAAAAATCTGACTGTCGCACCCAGGTGTGGTTGCTCACACTTATAATCCCAGCACTTTGGGAGGCCAAGGCAGGCAGATTTCTGAGGCCAGGAGTTTGAGACCAGCCTGACCAATATGGTAAAAACCCCATCTCTACTAACAATACAAAAATTAGCCAGGCATGGTGGCAGGTGCACCTGTGATGCCAGCTACTTCAGAGGCTGAGGCAGGAGAATGGCTTGAACCTGGAGATGAAGGCTGCAGTGAGCTGAGATCGTGCCACTGCACTCCAGCCTGGTGACAGGGAGACTCTGTCTAAAAAAAAAAAAACAAACAGAATTCTGACTGTGAGTGGCGAATGCACTGGAGGGACAGTGGGGGAGGCAAAGAGCTAATACTACTGTGGTCATTACCATTAATAGCTTCGGTCGTAACCAGCACTTATTGAGCACCTGATGCATACCAGGTCCTGTGGCCCCTTGACATGCATTATGACATTTACTCCTTGTGAGAGCCCCACAGAGAGAAAGTACTGCCATCACGTCCCTTTGGCAGAGAAGCGAAGTGACTTGCGTCAAGCCCCCTCCTTTGACAGGATGGCCATACTTTCCAGTTGGCCTAGGACAGGCCCAGATTACACATACTGTTCCAAGTGTGATTATTAATAGCACTTCCTTTCATTCTCAAAGGTGACCTGGTTAGACAATCAATTACACATCACTCTAATCAGAGGATCCCCAGAGCAGCTGGTAAAGGAGGTGGTTTGGTGCAACGCCAAAGGCCCTGAGCTCAACTCCTGGCCCAGTGGCTGACCGTGGGCAAAGCACTTGGCCCATCTCAGCCTCAAGCTTCACATCTCTGAAATGGGCTTAATAGCAGTGCAGGTATTTACTAGTTGCAGGGGTGTTGTGAGCCCCAGGCAGAGCACCGAGCAAGCAGTCTTGATGGAAATGGTTACAACCTGCCCCACGCTTGTTCCATCCTCTTCACCCCTGGGCAGGGAGGGCAGGCAGGAAAGAACACGTGAGAACCTCCCGACTGTATGCTGCACACTT